TTTTTTTCATCTCATAAATAAAATACACTAAGTCTACAGAATCGACTAAACTCGTGCTCTGATACCACGCTGTAACGTCCCGACCCGCATGGACAGAAACGTCACTCCACCATTGTACCTTAGCCGTAAAGTTATTTCAATATATTTTTAGTAGAGTGTATAAAGATTAAATTTTAGAATTTAATTAAAGATTTTTTTTAAAACAATAATCCAATTCTAAAATAAAACAATTTCAAAAATGTTTTTAGAATGAGTTACATGCATGTAACGACTATTGACGTGAAATTTTGGCAAAACTTAAAAAGTAATGCTGCTATTCCAGTATTTATCTCAAACAGGAATTGTCAAAATAAATTTGTTTTCATAGTTATCGATCTTGAAATTTCATCAAATTTTAATGTAAGGTAGTAAACTCCTTATAATATGACATAGTCAAAAACTAGCTTCCGTCGACGTCATATGGGGTATTAAAATATTTTTCAAAACTCACCAGCGACCCAGTTGAAGGGTAACCGGTGCAGTTCATTTAAAATGGAATATAAAATTCCACCGACTTCAAAACCACATGATTTCAAATTTATTCAGTAACTAATCCATGAGAATATCAAATCCAATTGGTTTCATCCAAAAATTCCAAGTAATGAGTGAGTTATGATTTTTTGAAAACAAGGGTAGAAGCTGAAAAATAGAGACAGCACCCAACACAGTTTACTTTATGTGACATGTAACCTTTTACCGATATTGGATTGACACGATTTCAATTTTATTCAGTATCTAACTTATTATGCTATCCAATCCAATTAGTTTCGTATAAAAATACCAAGTAACGAAAGAGTTATGATTTTTTTAAAGATGAGGCAGAAACTGAAATTTTTGAAGAGACATCAAAACTTTAAGTCACTAACTTTTTTTGTATACGGTGATTTGTAAATTTATTTCTATGACACATATCTACTTTCAAACATAATTTATTCATAACAAGTGTTCGTAAAATAGATCCACACAATATTCATAGGAATCAAATTTAAAGAAAGTGTAAACATCTCAAAATCAACTAAAGATGTAAATCATCGGCTTCTCCATGACATGTTGTATCATCCTTTACCATCATCTACGTCCCAAGGAAAATCTATTCAACCTATAGGAAGGGAATTAACCCATGAGTTTGAAACTCAATAGATATTATCGGTGCAATTCGTTATCAAATTAGAAATTTCGAACTATAGATTCATACCGTTGCACATAGATGGATTTCCGGTAAAATCCAATTACTATAGCATTATCATAATATGTAGAGCTGGAGAATGATCATTCAAACTGTTGTAGTGCGAAGTACCGTACCCAAAGGTACCATTTCATTCAAACATTTATCGAAAAATCAGATTTGAAAACGAATGAACACTTGTACCTCTACCTACCTTGAATTTTCTTAGATAAAAGAACAAAATGTATAGAAAGCCTTCCTTCTTCTTACCCTTGTTATACCTTAAGCTTAACTTGATATGAAATATTATTTTTTTTTGAGAGAAAATGAGATGAAATTCGGATTTGAAGAGGAGTGTGGTGAAAAAGTGACTTTCCACTTCTATAACCTTTCTTTTTAAGAAAAATTAAGTGGGGGGAGTTGTATTATCATTAAATTTATTAAACTTAGTCTTTAACTAAGAATTTGAAGAGTTTTTAAGTCATAAAAATAATTTGTATGAAAGTTTTATAAAAAACTCTACATGGTGATTTGAACCTGAGTTGCCTATATGAAATACTATGTAGATGACCATTGGGGCAACCCAATTATTCATTAAATCTTTGTAATCAATTTTACTTAAACTTAATCTCTTAAATTGCTTGACTTTGAATTAACTTATGACTCGGGGTTTCGTATTCTTACATGGGTTGAGCTTTCATAGGTCATTTCTAAAATGGGTTAGGCTCGTGGTACTAGATCATCACAAAATATTAGCATAATTCCATTTTATTTTTTCTCGGCTACTACATTTGTGGTAGCAGCTGTAGTTCCACAATGTGAAGCAAATAAAGTGATAGCATGTATTTGAATCTTTTTGAGGGTTACCACTTCGAATTAATTGCTTGTTGGGAATGAAATGTCTCATTGGAAAAAATAAAGGGTTTTCCCCCTTGGTATGGTCCGACGGAAGCAGAGATAGTGATAGCCTGTATTTGAATGTTTTTGAGGGTTACCACTTTGAATTAATTGCTTGTTGGGAATGAAATGTCTCATTGGAAAAAATAAAGGGTTTTCCCCCTTGGTATGGTCCGACGGAAGCAGAGATAGTGATAGCCTGTATTTGAATGTTTTTGAGGGTTACCACTTTGAATTAATTGCTTGTTGGGAATGAAATATTTCATTGGAAAAAATAAAGTGCTTTTCTCCTTGTGCGGTCCATGTCGGACCGTACAAGGTACAGTCCCCTCTAGCATTAGTATGGGGCCTCCTCATGTCAGGGGACTGTGAACGGTGCTTTGTGCACAGCACCGTCCAAAAATAAAACAATGTTGATTTGCTGGTCTTAAATTCAAAAATTGTTTCAGGTACAAGACATAACCTCCTTAGGTAGAATGGTAAATCTAGTTATTGCAGTAACATATTGTTCCACGGAATTAAAGTCCAAAATATGGAAGAAATAAGCGTTTTCACGACTCAACCACCTAGTCAGTCAGACTTCTATTGATTTTTGTGTCGAACTTATGAAGGATTTGATGGCTTGATTGAACGAATATTGTAAGAATTTTTTAATGGGCACCTTAATCATAATGTCAGCCTCTTTTAAAAAAATTATTCACAATATTGTAGATAATTAAGAAAATTGAGATAACTGAGAAAGATAAATGTGATGATTGAACATATCAATCAAAATGACCAAATACTATGTAAATTATGAATGAATAATAAAGATTTATACAAAATCCAATTAATCAAATAATTTTTAGACCTTAATTAAGTCAAAAGCGTCAAATGCCCATATGTTATGGACAAATAAGGAGGGAGACTGGTAAGCAATCCAATGATGGGCTCATCACTCCCTCTCAAATTCGCTGTCCTTTTTTCCATCTCTCTCGCCGGCGCCGCCTCCTTCGCCACCACTACCTTCGCCACTTCTCTCCCCTTCTTCAAACCAAAGCCCAAACCCAAAGCAACAGTCTCGGATTTGCTCTCCCTTCTGGGTTCACACCAACAGGCCCGTTCCGTCAACTCCCAGGTGGCCCGAGAATTGCGGTCCCGCTTCAAGTTCCTCGTGCCCTTTAGTCCCACTCAACGGCTCAGGCCGGAGTCTTCTTCGGCCCGGCGATTGCTGAACGATCGGAACAAGAGAGACGACGATGAGCTGATTTGGTGGCCTCCGGCTCCAGTAATGGAGCTCGCTCGGCTCGCCGTTGACTCTGGTGGTGATCCTGGGGCTATCCATATTGCTCTTGATCCAACCATTATCCCAGTAAGGTTTCCACCCTCCTTCCATTTTTTTTATACTGCCCCAGTTTTGGATTATGTGCGGTGCATAAATGCAAAGGTGAACATTTTGGGCTCTTCTGTTTCGTATATATGTTATTAAAAGATTATTTAGCATACAAAAAATTAAAAGTATTACAAGAAACCTAAGTGCCTAATTTTGCAAGATTTCTACCCAAATGGTATCTGTATACCCTTCTCTCTATTTTGGTGCAATTTCATATACTAATTTACTTATTTTCAGCCATATTTCCCCTTAGGAAAACTGGAGGGGTGGGCATTTTAACTTGAACTGAACCTCATGAACCAGAACAGCGGGTTCCAATTCGGATCCAAAAGTTACATAGAACCGAGTGGTTCCATATACAAAATACCTGAAGTTAAATTGGTGATTCCGATTCTTGAGATACCCGGACAGAAACCCGATTTGGAACTGAATTGTCAATTTTTATTTTTTTTACTTTCACATATTGTGTAAATTTTCAACAAAGACATTAGTTTAAATGCCATTGGTTTTCTTCGTAGAAAACTGGAATTGAGATTTTAGGAAACCTATGGGGAGTCCGTACATAATTTCTCTTTCTTTACGTTTTTGGTTAAAAAATATAACTAGTTGAATGAACTAATGTAAAAAATTGCTTACTTTATTTTTGCTGGTTATGGTTTTTTTTATTTTTTATATACGGTAGAATCCAACCCGAGCTGGATAATAGCAGGGATGTCAAATGGGTCGAGCCGGCTCGGCTCGTCAAAGCTCGGCTCGTGGGCTGCTCGGGCTCGTCTCGTCAAAGCTCGGCTCATGGGTTGCTCAGGCTCATCATTTGACGAGCCCAAGCTCGAGCCGAGTGGGTGGTCGATTCCAACGAGCCGAGCCCGCTCGGCTCCTCGAGCTCGACGAGCGGCTCGTCCAAAAAAAAGGAAAAAAATGAAAATTTTTTAAAAAAAAATTAAAAATTTTCAAAAAACTCTCAACTCGTGGGTTCGTTAAAATGGCTCGTGGGCTCGACAAGCCAAGCCCTATTCGGCTCGTGGATTTGAAGCCCTGCTTGGCTCGAGCTCGTCAAATTTCACGAGCTGAATTTTGACGAGCCGCTCAACCCGTTTGACATCTCTACCAAACTTCCGAGCTCGTGGGTTAACGAGCCGAGCCGGCTCGATTCGGTCCATTGCTACCCCTAGATAATTGACTGTTCTAGTTTGGTTCCAAAAATTACATGAAACCTAATGATTCCATTTACAATATACCCAAAGGTTTAATGGTGGTTCTAGTTCTTGAAATACCCCAACCGATCCACCCAACATCCATCCCTACTTGGGAAAACGGTTGTAGTGGTTATGGGAGGTCAAGGGAGGTTTTAGTTTGAATTTGAATTCAAACTAGGCCCCCCACCGCATTCTTATAAGTTGCGGGTCAGGTCACGTCAGCTCAGCTCGCATTGATGATTCATGACCCATAAGGCCATAATCTAACATTTGTGCAAGCGTTGTTAACATTGCCAATAACATATTTTGAGTATATAGCACTTGGTGTGGTATCAAGTCTATGTATGTGACATTGGTGCTATCAATTATGATGGATCCACATATACTTTCATAAGGAGAAAGCCGATATGAATAATGCAGGTTCCTGATGTGGAAGGAACGAAGGAAGATCGATGTGAGCTTACTAGAACCCCTTATGGGAGACACTTCATAAATGAGGTATGCATTATAGTAATGATAGAATTCACTGTATTGTAATTTTCTTAAGATTAGGATCTTTTTTAATTACGTTATTTATTTTTCTGAGTTTCTTAATAATGTAGCATGTAATTCTCATTTTTGTAGGAGTTGAATTCGTACCTAAAGTTTTTATTTGAAATTATAGTTCAGAGGGGTCCCAGTGTAGGGCTGAATGTTTCATTGAATCGCTATGACTTTTTTCACGGCCACCTTTTCCTTGCCATGGATTCTGGAAGACTTGGTATTTTGTAAGTTGAGTGCCATCCAACATCTAATTTTATGATTCTTCCATGTATTCCTTTGAGCTCGAGATGAGAAGAGTTTGGAAACGCAAACACCAGCATAGTCAGAATTATATTGACAGTTCATAATCCATGATTTGTCACATGTAAAATGCTGCAAATAGATGGCTGAACTTGGTAACAACACATTTCTAGTTTGATTCAGAATTTCGTCAAGATTGTTATGCTTGACGTGTTTGATTGTGCAGTACTGGTAAATAAACCTCCCCAACTTACAATTACTTCTTCCCCCCCAACCAAAACTAAAAAAAATAGAAGTAAAATATGAGTAGATGGCCAAGAGGAGATGAAAGAAAATAGTGCCTTGGCCTTGTTGTATAAATTGAACTATCTTAGATCAGGTTCTATCCCTTACGATTTGTATCCCATCAACTGTAGCTTGGCTAATTAAATATGAGAAAGTAAACATAACCTAGAGAAATAAAGAAAACATCCAAATTATCAAGGTTCTAGATGAGGACAATATTTATTTCCTAAATGATTATTTGGCTCATCCGGTTACAATTATATCACTAAATTTCAAGACAGCAAAATCATATATTTCTTTTATTCTGAACTTTTCAGTTATGAAGTTAACTTGGTACAAAAGTTTAAGTTTCTTTTACGCTTGAATGCATGGGGATTTTTGTGCTTGGGAGCGGCTAATTGTTTATATTTTCAAATGTACAAATAAAATAGAAGTAGTCATGTATTTATATGTTTCTTTATTGCATACTTAGTCATGCAATTGTAAAAGAGAAAATTTCTATTAAAGAAATGCTTTAAATTCTTTAATTTGGTTATGCATC